CAGCTTTAAGGCCGGGCATGTCCCTGTACAGGAGGACTATCAAAAAATAGGCAAACAATAGTCGGGGGACGATTTTCTGAGTATGTGTGATTTGTGTTGCGTATTTTTCTGCAGATGTTTTGAATTTTCCCCTCCGAAATTCGCCTGTAGGGGGACACGCCCGACCTAACGTCAACCTTACCATACCATTTTGAAACAGATCCCTATCCCTATGTCTGGCATCACCTTACCTCGATGCCGATCCGAAGGATTCCCTCTGCTCCTGGGGGCACATGCCTCAGATTGTAATCAATCGCTTTGGGCTTGCCAGTCTTAGGGATAATGATGCCGCTGCTGGCGTGAAAAGCGCCCATCCAGACACGACACTTCAAAGGGCCAGCCCCCGGACCCCCCATTTCAATGTTGCGTTCGCGTCCGCTGTCGGGATGCAAGCATCGGCACAACAAAAACGCCCAGATTGCACCGCAAAGGCAGCCCCGTTTTCAACATGGATGTCGGGACACGGGGGCCCTGAACAAATCTGCGTTGACCTTTACGCCTGGTGGGCGCTTTTCAACGCCAATGGCGGTAGTTCGAGTGTGGTTACAGCCCCCCCTCCCCACCCGATCTCACCTCTCTTGGGTCCACCCACCGCGCTACGCGTGCTCCTCTTTCCCCTCTCCTCCTCTCCTCATGCCCTCCCTCCTTCTCCTTTCTCCCCTCTGCGACGCAGCCGATGGCTTCACCTGGGCACAGAAGCAGCAGAGCCCTTCCTCCTCCCCCAGGCTCCTCCTCGTCCTTCCGCTCGCCCCCGGAAGAGATCGCAGCTGCCGGGGTGTAGGGGCGCCGCGCAGACGCCTCGCCGGGGCCCGCGATCCGCGGCTTTCATCGTGCTCCCGCGGCAGCAATGGAGACCATCCTGTCGGACCTGTCGCCGGGCGGCATCTCCGTCGGGGAGGCCTTTTGTCGCGGTCGTCGTCGCCGCCACCGTCGAGCAGGAGGAGGAGTAGTCGGAGGAGGAGGGAGGAGGAGAAGCGCCCTCGTATCCACTCGTTGCCTCTCCTGCCTCTTCCTCCCCTCCTCCCCTCCTGCCCTCGCCGAGGGAGGAGAGGGGGAAGGGGGGGAGGTGCTGAAAGGGGGAGGGGGGGGGGCATGAGGGAGGGTGGAAGAGAGGGGAGGGACTGGTTTCGCCGGTTCCTGCAGGTTTTCCAGCCTCGGGGTGATCTCCAGCAGCTGCGCCTCGCCGAGAGGGCTCTAGCCGCCGGAGGCTTGAGCGATAGTCCGAAAGCCACCAGTCTTCCGAGACCACCAACGTCTGAAAATGACAGCAACTCATGTCCATCTTGAGCAGGATTCGATGTCGGCGTCGCAGTGGACGCTGCCCACTTGAGACAACAAGGTCGCCTGCCCAACAGCGCCCGCGGACAACTTTTTGCCAACAGTCGATGTTGGGCAACGTGCCATGTTCCCCCCTTTCCGCGTCGAGCGTGCAAGATTTAGCACGCAGGTCACGCGCGGCGCGATTGCGAAATACGGTTCCATGGAGGCGGTCCCGGAGCGTCATCCACGCCCCCAGCCTCCAACATTTAAGTGGGTTGCTCCTTATTTGCTTTCACATTGTTGCAGTGTTACACCAGAGAGAACCCCAATCAGTGGATGGTTTGAAATCGGATCGATAAAGAGATCGATCAGGAGGTCGATCGGGAACCCGGGAACCTGGAACCCACCGAAATCGGCCCAGAACCATTGACCAGGAACCCGGGAACCCGGAACCGGGAACCCAGCTTGCCACCAAAATCGGCGGGAAATTTTCGCCAAACCTTCCAATTTCCGCTAGACCCGCTTCAGTGCAGGCACTGATCGGGGAATCAGTTTTCTTCATGGTAACATGACACGTGCATCCACGCGTTTCATGATTCAGTTTCTGACATCCCCCTTCAATGGCTCACTCTGGTCAGCAGGAGCCCGCTAACACTGAGCGCACGTGGGAAAGCAAAGGTGGGTGGACTCTTCAGGCCCCTGCAGCCTTCCTGGCCCTGTGCAACTACAGGGTGTTGATGAATACCCTTTTCTCAAGTGTTGTTGTGGGCGCACATTCTGCACGGTCGGTGGAGCTTTGGTCGTCTTGGGGCCTTGGGGGCTGCTCTAGGTTCTTGGGGCCCTTTAGAGCCGTGTCCGGGGCCGTCTTCGGATGTCGGCAGCCCGAAAAGAAAGACAGCGAAACAAGTTTAACATTCTGGTGCCCTCTTGGGCTCCTCTTTCTTGGAACTCTCCTGGAGTGTATTGCAGGCGTCTTGCATATCCGGCCCTCGTGGGGCTTGTGGGAACTTTTGGGAGGGGCCAGAAGGGTTTTCAGATTCGGCACGCCGAGCATCCCTTGATAAATCAAAGGGGAGGGCGGATCTGGTGGCCCTGGGCCCATCTCGCCGCCTGCCTGGGTCGTGGACCAAACGGCTCCCGAGCTCTCTTGGGAGGCCTTTGGGGGGTTTGCTTTGGGGGTCTCCTGTGGACCGCTTGGAGGTCTCCTTGTGGCTCCCGGAAGCCTCCTCGGGCGCCTCTGGAGGCTTTTGTCCCGTTCGGTTGTTGCCGCCGTGCGGTCTTTGGGGCCGTTTTGGAGTGGACCAGTGGAGCGCCAGTTCGAGTGTCCTTTCTCCCCCCAGCCACCAAGTGGGGTTCTTGCTTTCTCGGCACACCCCCGCACAGGAGAGAAAGAGAGAGAGAGAGAGAACCTCACCCCTCTTTTCTTTTTCTCCTGTCACACTCACCATCATCACTACAATCATCTCTATCATCCTGGCCACTATCATCTCCTCATCATCACCATCTTCACGATCAGTATCTTCTCATCGTCGTCAGAACTCCGTTCCCAGTCCCGAATGATTGAATTGGGAAGAAGTCTCAGGCGGGAGCCCCCTCCCTATGGGGCCCGCACTGAATGTTTTCAATCCGAGGTGGCCATCGGGAAACCTGTAAAATCATGGTTCCGCGATCATCGATTAACCCGAACTCCATTCGCAGTCTTGGTTTCCCAGTGTCCAGACCCTTCCCAGCTCCTGTGATTAATTCTGAGTGTGTGGAGCCGACGGCCGGCCACTTCAGACTCTTCTTGCTCCTAGATCTTCATTCTCGGGACTGATCTTGAGTGTCTGGAGCCTACCGTAGACCACTACTACGGGCTCGCCGTGCTCTCAGACATTTCCTGGGACAGCGTTCTCATCCTGGCATACCTTTCACCCCTGGCATCCTGGCATCACTGGTATCTCTGGTATCCCTGGCGTGCTGGCACCCTTGGTATCCTGGCATCGCACAGGTTCCACAGGCCCCACAGGCTTCACAGGTCCCGCATGCGGCTCAGGCCTTACATCCCCCTGGGCCTCACAAGTCCCACACGCCTCACAGGTAGCACTGAACCCACAGCCCCCGCAGGTGACACAAGTCCCACGTATTCCGCCGGCCCTACAGTTTCCAAAGGTCGCACGGGTTCCAACTGTTCCACTGGTTCCATACGTCACATATGTCACACTCTAGGCCTCCCAGATGGGGTCGGAGTAGATGGTGTCGGAGGATCGCGCCGCATCGCCGATGCTTCGCCGATGCGGCTCGATGCGGAGCCCGATTTTCTCCGCGCCGGCGTCGCCGATGCATCGCCCACGTCGACGATGCATCGCCAGTGCATCGCCGATGCATCGCCGATGCATCGCCGATGCATCGCCGATGCATCGCCGATGCATCGCCGATGTATCGGCGATGCGGCGCGATTCTCCGACCCCATCTACTCCGACCCCAACTAGGAGGCCTCTAAACACAGGCCCCAAAGGTTGCACAGGCATCCTGGGACCTTGCGATGCTGGCATCCTGCCCTCCTGGCCGCCTGGCATCCTGGCATCCTGACATCATCATCGCATCCATGGAATCCTGCAAGCTTGACTGGCTGCCATCCAGGCATCCCAGCCCCCCGGCGCCCTGGCATCCTGGCATTCCTGGCGCCATTGCATCTTGGCATCTTTGTGTCGTGGCGTCCTGGTTTCCTGGCATCCTGACTCCCTTGCATCCTGGCAACGTAGCATCGTCTCCGTCGTTTGTCGTCGATGCTTACGCACATGTGATCCGTCGGAGTAGTTTCAGACCCTTTCTTTGGCTGTCTCGGACGCCCTTTCTGGACAAATAGGGCGAGCATGCGAAAGTGAGACAACACATAGTATGGGCTTCCAATATAATTTTGGCGTCTTGGGCTAGCCCGCGCGGCCTTCAAGACGGCCCCAGAGGCCCTGCCCATGACAGCCCCCTTGGGGTGTCTTGGGGCACGTCGGGAATGTGGGTTCCCAGCCGCGCCGCGCTCGCAGGGCCTTGCGAAATCAAACTGCGCGACGAACTCTCGGATCGCCCAAGAGCGCTCAGATGCGCTCGGAGGGATCTATTACCAAGATGTGTTTTTTTATTCAAGATTCGTCAAAAGTAAATTGACGGTTGTTGTTTCCGGTGCTCGTGTGGTGGGCGCTACTTCAATGCTGGCATGAGGTATTCGGCCCAGACGCAGGGGTGTCCGAAACCCAGCAGTAACCTCACAGCATTGAAGAGCGCGTTCTCTGACAAGTGCCCGAACTATCGAGCGCATCGATTTTGGACCGTGTTCCAACTAATTTTCGACGAGGCTTGTGGGGCGCCGTCCATCATGCTTGCGTGGTAAGGGCTCTGTACTCGAGAGGTGGTCACGGCCAACACGGGGTCCAATAGCCCCGCTGGATCCATTTGCCAACACGGGGTCACAACGGCCCCGTTGGGCTTCCGAGGGCTCCCGAGAGGGGTCAAAAAACATGCCCGCCAACACGGGCCTGTCATTGTTGCGAATTGGCAACATTACAAAAGGGACAGCCCCATCCAGTGTTGAGGAGTCTGATGGGGCCTGAGGACACGTGATTCGGTGCCCAGGGCAGGGTGCGGCTCGCCAGGCATATGGTTCGTTCCAATCGGCAACATGTTTTCCGTAGTTTTTCGGTTCGCCTTTTTCCATCCGGACGCGCATGGGATTCGCAATTTTCGAGTTCGGTGTGTCGTTGCGCGTCATGTCAGCATCCTCGCAGCTCCCCTTGGTTGGCGGCTCCCTGCGCGCCAGCATCGAGGCGCTGTTGCCGAGGCCGCTGCGGAAGTTCAGAGCCGATGGCACGCCGGTGTATTTTGCGGATTGTCTGAACGAGCCGGCGGAAGCCGAGGCCATGGACGCTGCCGAGGAGCGGCTCGGCTTCCCCCTGGCGCCCGCGCTGCGCCAGCTGTTCTCCTACGCCGACGGCCAGCAGGCCGGCTCGCCCCCATTGCTCGTGGTGCCCAGCAACCGCCACGTCACGTTCCTCTCGCTGCGCCAGGCCCGGGATCTGGCACTGTACTGGCAGGAGCAGGCCCGGCACCCGCTTCAGGCGAAGTACTGGCAGGGGTACAACCGCCTGTGGGTGCCGATCGGCTGGGCATCGAAGTTCCATGTGGCGCTCTGCGTGTCGTCCAGCCTTACGTCGGGCATGTCCCTTCACAGGAGGAGGAGGAGGAGGAGGAGGAGGAGGAGGAGGAGTCAAAAACAGCCAAAACAATAGTACATGGACGACGTTTCTGCTACTCCGGGACAGTTTTGAGTATTTGTTGCATTTTGGTTCTTGGTTCCTTCAAAGTCCGCCTGTAGGAGGACATGCCTGATCTAAGTCCAGCCACGGTGGCCGTGTCATCCGTTTTACGACTCCCGATGCACAGTTCTCCCACGCAGCACTTGCAAATCAGCACCTGGCCGAAAATCTGGAAGGCTACCTGGCCGACCTCTACGACCACATGACCGGTGCACGCCAGCCCTTTGCAGCAGGTCCGAAAGGACGCTCCAATCCTGCAGCAGGCCTCTGACCTCTTAGCGAAAACGTGTCTCATTCTTATTCGTTTTCCCTCAGGGTGCAACTTCAGGAAGGTTCAATTCAGCATCGGCGCTGGGATATCCGTGATCGAAAACCGGCTCCATCCAGCGTTATCTCGATTCATGTCCCCGTTGATCCCGGTAAATCCAGTTCAATTTGGCCCAAGCCGTGCGCAGTTGGGCCAATCCAGCTGAATGGCCCTCGAGCGAGCGTCATAGCCCGAATCGTTCTTACGAAGACCTCCCAGAGGTAGCCTCCGAAGTTTCCTCCAATCACTCCAGACGGGAGCCCGCAGAGCAGGCGAACGGAGTCCTGCAGGGAGCAGGAGAAATGGGGAGCGTCGAACAGATTGCTCAGTATCGGGGGCGGGTAGGAGATGAAAGCACTACCGCACTAGTTAGCATTTGTTGTTATTAATTCTTTTGCTGATCGTCGCGGGCCCTCGCACCCCCCCCCTCCCCCCCTGGAGTAGATCTTGGCAGTTTTGGGCGCCTGTTTCAGACAGGTGGAGCCTCCCCTCGTAGGACGTACTGCTCCAAGCAGCCGCACTAAGCAGAGGTCCAAAGCCAGACCCCCCCTCCCCCCCTTCCGCCCAGTGTCGAAACGCTGCATCAAAAAACGCTCACCTAGCACTTGGGGCAAATCGTTCTGCCACCTCCCTTGACAGCATGCGCCACTGACGTCGTTGATCAGCCGCTGCAGACGCAGCTCTGCCCAGTACCAAAAATTCTGCCCACCCTTAAGAGACGGCTTACCACTCGACGAGCCGTCCAGATGTGAACCCCAGAGGCACAACAGTGTATCTTCGACCTATCTCGGACAACCCTACCAGCAATCAGGGACACACGAACATGGCCGAAATGCCAATCTCGGGGGTGGACAGAAGCCCCACCCTGACACGTCGATTAGTGAATTGTCCGTTTTCGGTTCTCGAGAGGGCGCCGCAGCCGTCATTTTCCAGGCTTGCGCCCGCCAGCTTTGGGCCCGAGGTCGTTTTCACTAAACCGCGTTTCATTGAAGGGGGTCCTGCCCATCCACGACACTCTGGTGCTTCTGCCCCTCGTCCTCACCAGAAAGACTGCGTCGTTCAGTGCGGTCTCAGATTCTTCACGCCTGCGCGCTTCCCCCCCACCTGTCCCGTCCAGGAGCGATGCCCCAGGAGCTGTCCTTGTCAGGAGGGCGCGGCATCATCGGGACACCTTTGGGAGCCCCAGTGGGCCAGAGGCCCCTTGGATGCCTCCTTAGGTTTTGCTGGGTGCTTCTCGAGGCCCCTCGGGGGCTTCTCGTGGCGTCGTGGGGGAGGGCTCTTGCCGCCTCTCGTGGGGGGCTTCTTGGTGGCTCATTTGGGAGACTCTGGGGCCCTTGGGTGGGCTAAGTGGGCACCTCCTCGAGGCTTCTGTCAGGGCTCCCTGGGGGCCTCTTGGGGACCTCCTGGGCTCGGGTCTCGCTCGGGGGCGTTTCGGCCAGTCTTGGGGTCGTCTTGGAGGCCAGCGCAGCCAGGAGGGAGGCGGCGTGGAGGAGCGCCGCTTCCCCCTAGGATGCCCACACTGGTCCAACACACTCTGGAAAACAATGATGGTGCTTTTTCGTTTGAGGCCAGCTTGGCCATCGTCATCATCCCCACCACCACCACCACCACCATCATCATCATCATCATCATCATCATCATCATCATCATCATCATCATCATCATCATCATCATCATCATCATCATCATCATCATCATCATCATCATCATCATCATCATCATCATCATCATCATCTTCATCTTCATCTTCATCTTCATCTTCATCACCATCATCATCATCATCATCATCATCATCATCATCACTATCATCATCTCCATCACCATCATCATCATCAGAATCATCATCATCATCATCATCATCATCATTTTCATCATCTTCATTCGTCTTATCACAAGCATCATCATCAGGTGCAGCATCATCATCCTCATCCTCATCATCGCTATCATCACCATCATCAGCATCACCATCATCACCATCACCATCATCATCATCACCATCATCAGGATCATCATCATCATCATCATCATCATGATCATCATTATCATCATCATCATCATCATCATCATCATCATCATCATCTTCACCATCGGACGGGGGGGGAAGAGTCCCGCCGAGGGCCTTCGAGGGTCGTCGAAGGCCGCCCCCTCCAGAGCCAGGGAGGGGCTTCAGGGACAGGCGCAACGCCCTCCCGGAAGGGGGAGACGAGGGGAGGATGGCAGAGGAGATGCCTGAAACCACCTCCGTGTTTTCTGGGTTCGTTGTAACTAGCTGCCCGTTCGGACTCGCGGCGGGTTCGTTGGTGTGTGTGCGTGTGTGCAACCACCTCCCGCCAGAGGGCCGGTGGGCTTCTGCTCAGCATAGGCCAAAGCCGTGGCAATACCGATCGAAGCGCTTCGCATCATATCCCGAATTGGGCGCGATGCCGTTGGGAATTCGGGCGAGCGCTCCGTTTTGAGAAAGATCCGCCTTCCTCCAACTGTGTAAGGCCATCGGGTACTTGTACATGTGCATACAGATAAGTCTGTGTATACGTATGTTTGAAACGATGCATATCAGCACACATGAATATGTGTGTTTGCGTAAACATACGGGCTGACTTACTGCAGTCTCGCACGATGCCCCCGCTTTGAAACGTAAGTATCGCCCTCCCTTCGTGTAGTTGTTCCAGGCTTCACGCCCGTGCAATGCACAATGTAACGACGCAGCGTGTGGAAATTCCGTGTTGAAAATCATCCGCATGCAGCCTTTTGGTTGTTGCGATGGTGCATTCGTGGTATGAATATTTGGTGATCCCTATGCCCAAGTGCAAGGGCAGAAGAAACCGTATGCATGCGGCTATCGGGTGATTCCCGAATGTTCAAGTTAATATGCTCTGCATCCGCGTCGCTGCTTCAAATGAATACGTCGAGCTGTGCGCGGCGCCACGACGAGAGCCGCACTCTGAGAGCCACCCTGCCGTCAGCCGTGCAGCTGGTGCCAGCCTCCTGGGCGACTGAGCGCGGCGCCCTCTAGACTCTAGGCGAGAGGCACGGTTCGGAAACGACCCTCCTCCCGCGCAGTCGTGGAAGGTCCCAGCGTCAGGATCCCCGAGTCAATATCGTGTATCCAATCCATAGGTCTCGGCAGGCTCAGTGCGCAGGGGGAGCGGGCGGCGGAGGAGGAGGGAGGAGGAGGGAGGAGGAGGAGGAGGAGGAGGAGGCGGAGGAGGAGGGAGGAGGAGGGAGGAGGAGGAGGAGGAGGAGGAGGCGGAGGAGGAGGAGGAGGCGGAGGAGGAGGAGGGTGGGTGGGTGGGTGGGGATGGCGGAGGGGGTGGGGGGGGGGATTTCTCAAGCCCGAGAGCATGCGGGCCGTCTGCTGCCGCGCCGCACTCGGCGATCCGCGGGCCGCGCTTCGCAGGCCCAGCCTTTGCCCGTGCGGCCACTCCTGGGTGGTTTCGGCCCGAGGTGCCACCGATGAGATCCTGGCTAGCTCTGCCCTGTGTTCGGCCATGTGCGGCGCAGAGATGCCAGACTATATGTTATCAGACGTTTATGCGTAGATGTACATATATACATGCATGTACATATCTATGTGTATATGTGTGCAAACACATATATTTGTTCTATGCGTGTGTATATATATATATATGTCCGCATCGGCATCACCCAGGCATACTTGTACTGTGTGTGCGTCGGCCCTGCAGGGGCGGCGCGGGCGCTCAGGAGCTCTCACGGCACAAACCATCAATGCCGGATGCGGTCTGCAGCACCGTTCGGGCGACGGTCTGCTGCGTGCTCGCTGCACCATACGCTCCTGCAGGGCGAGCGCCTCTCAGAGGGGGGGGCATAGTTATAGTCTTGTTCGGATCGCCGCGGGGGTTGCTTGGTGAACAGGGGATTGCGATTGGATGCGAAGGTGGGTTATATCTAGTCTAACCCTGACCTAGCTCGTAAGCGCGCTACCATCGCCCTACGTGGCTTGGGTGGGCTCGATAACTCCGCTGAGTGGGCGGAGCCCACTCAGCCCAGATCTCCCCCCCATAAGCCACTTACTTAAATAATGTTCGAGCCGTTTTTGAATTTTGTGAGGCCAGGTAGAAGCCATCTTGGCATCCACTTACAACCC